TTATAGAACAACAAAGACCATAATGATATGTTTCTTATGTAATACGAGATCTTGAGCTTGAGTAAAATGGTTTGCTAAGGTTAATTTCATAAATGATCATCAAACCAAGTGTACTAAAGTAAAGTCATAAAACTAAACAGCTACGAGCCTCTTGTTTCTTAGATTTACATGACACCAAAGCCTCTCCAATTTTTACAGGATATCCTGTAACAGATCTTCTGGTCTGCAGACAGGAGCCCCAATCAGAATCACAGAAGGCTTGTAGCTGTTTAGTTTCTGTTGATGGCATTAAGAGTCCCAGACCTAGTGATGCTTTCAGATATCTAACAATCCTTAGGGCAGCCTCCATGTGGGACTGTTTTGGAGCATGCATATATTGACTTAGCACCTGTACTCCAAATGAGATATCGGGTCTGGTCATGGTCAAATATAAGAGTCTCCCTACAAGCCTTTGGTATTCCCCAACATCATTTAGTATAGGATCTTGTTGAATGTTCTATCATATTCTGTTGAAGTAAGTTTCTGATTGCACTCTAAGGGAATTCCAGCTATTTTTGCTCCTCCTAGGCCAAGTTCAGAGATCGGCTCCAAGGAATACTTCCTTTGACACATATGTATTCCTTTGTTTGACCTGGCAAATTCAATGCCTAAGAAGAATTTTAGTTCCCCTAGGTCTTTCATCTTGAACTTTTTCTGAAGATCTTCCCTAGTTTTGACCAATAGATCATTGTTGCTTCCTGTAATGATCAGATTATACACATATATAAAAATCACAACTATGTCACATCCTAGTTGATGTGTGAAAAGTGAGTAGTCAAAGTAGCTTTGAACAAATCCCAGTTGCTGCAGTGCTTCAGTCAGCTTGAGATTCCACTACCTTGGTGCTTGTTTCAGACCATACAGTGATTTTTGTAGTTTTCAGACTTGTTTGGTATCCCCCTATCTAGAAAACCCTTCTGGAATAGTCATATAGACTTACTCCAAAATATCTCCTTGCAAGAAGGCATTGTGAACACCCATTTGATAGATGAACCAATGTCTTGAAGCTGCCACAGCTTCCACTGATATGACAGTAACCATTTTGGCTATTGGTGAGAAGGTTTCTTTGTAGTCTAATCCTGCTTGTTGACTATAATCCTTGGCTACCAATATTGCCTTATACCTCTCCACTTCTCTTGATAATTTTTATTTGACCTTGAACACCCATTTACAACCAATAGGGGTCTTTCCCTCAGGAATATCAACAATGCTCCAAGTGTTGTTGTCTTCTAGTGCTGCAATCTCTGGTTTCGTCGCTTCAATACACTTTGGATCTGTAGTTGCTTCTTTATAACTAGCAGACTCCACAATAGATGAGTAGGAGTTTAAGACAGTCTTATAATATATGGTCAGATGTTCATAACAGATATAGAATGACAAAGGGTAGGCACAGTTGGATTTTTTTAGTAGTGACAAAGTTTTGCATCCACAGAGGTTGTTTGACAGTTCTAGAGGATTTTCTAACTGTTTTAGATTGTTGAGGTTCAGTGATAGGTATTGAACTGATGCTAGATTCATCAGTTACTGTGATGTTAGGTGTGACTGGATGTAACGAATGATCTATATTGGTGGATGGATTTAAAGATACAGGGCATTCTGCGATTAAGTCTTCTTGTATGATTTGAGAAGTTGTTGTGTTGTTAAGAGTGGTGTTTGGAATATTTCTTGGTGGGTTAGGTATAGCTTCTAGTACTAGAAACAAGGGAAGAGTAGAAGGAGTAAAGTGTCTAAAAGGGAATAAATCTTCTCTAAATACCACATTTCTACTCACAAAGAATGACTTAGCATGTAGATCATAGAGTTTGCACCCTTTTTGAATAGAGGAATATCCCATTAATGCAGCAGGAATGGCTCTAAGTGACATTTTATCAGTGATATTGGGGTTTGATGCATAAGTAAGACAACCAAATGTTCTTAAATGATCAAGATTAGGAGGATGTGAATATAACATTTAAAAAGAAGATTTATACTGTAAGATGATAGAAGGTAACCTGTTAAGCAGATAAATAGCAGTAGCAACACATTCTCCCCAGAACTTCAGTGGCACAACTCCTTGAAACCTTAAGGATCTGTGCTTCCTCTCTACTACACCATTTTGCTGAGATGTATAAACACAAGAATTCTTATGTACAATACCATTTTCCTTAATCAACTCATCAAACTGAGAGTTAAAGAATTTACAGCCCTTATCTGTTCTTAATGTTTGAACATTAGAGTTAAACATATTCTTCACTAAAGCTAGAAACTGCTTCACAATGACAAAAGTTTTAGCTTTATTATTCAACAGTAATATCCAAGTATACCTAGACAAGTCATCAACCAATGTTAGGAAATATCTCTTACCATCATGTGTAAGTACTCTATAAAGACCCCATACATCATCATGTACTAGCTGAAAAGGTGTATTTGAACTAGTAGTGCTGATAGGAAATGAAAGTCTAGACTGTTTTCCTAGTGGACATACAATACAATGATGATTTTTGTCTAGTTTACACTGCTTCAAACAATCTATTTTTCTGAGCATGTCTAAAGGGGCATGCCCTAGTCTATTATGCCATACAGATAGTGTCACATTAGCAAACACAGATTAGCAAACTTCTTTACTATCAGACTCTTGTAGTTGTAGTTGTGTCTGTGATGTTGTAGGAGTTAGAGATGGCTTCAGATAGTACAGTCCACAGTCTTTTATACCAATCCCCATCACCTGCCCACTGAAGAGGTCCTGGAAGAGGCAAAAATCAGGAAAAAATGCCACCCAACACTTTAGTTCCTTTGTCAATTTTGACACAGACAAAAGGTTAAACTTGAAGTCAGAAATGTGCAATACATTTTGTAGATCCTGATTTCTGAATACTAGATGTCCCTGTATTTGATATTGATACCACATTACCTTTTGGAAGATGCACATTTCCACCTTTTAAACTAGACTCCTTGTCCTATTTGGTCAACCACTTAGAATTTCCTACCATATGATTAGTAGCTCCAGTATCAATTATCCACCTATCATCGATTATACTGGATAGGAATGCAAATATACCTATTGCTGCTGGTTGAGCAGAGTTTGTTGTTTCTTCATTCACTTTACCAAACATATGTAAGATTTGTTGATACTGTTCTGGAGTAAAGTATGGTACTAAGGGAAGTGGTGCTGCTGGATGAGGTTGAGGTTGGCTCCTTTCCCCATGGTTTCCTCCACTGTTATTACCCGCTGAAAACAAATCATGACTACCACTAGTAGGCATTAGTGTTCCAGTGTTAGTTCCAGAACCACCATTGTTTCATGCAAAGTTAGTTGTAGGAAATGAGTTTCCTTTCTTCTTGTGCTTGAAATCAGTAGGATAACCATTCAATTTAAAACAATTCTCTCTGGTATGTCCTTTGTAGTTCCAGTAGTCACAAACTAGGTTTAAAATTTTCTTTGGTCTCTGCTGAAATCCACCTCTAGTAGACACAAAAGTAGTGATATCAGGATTCTCTACAGGAGAACCATAGTGTGCAATTACCTTCTAGCTTTCTCTCTCCATCATCATAGAGTAAGCCTTGTTAACAGAGGGAGCTGGTATCATCATGAGCAATTGGCTTCTAGCTTGCTCATGAGACTCGTTTAGCCCCATAAGGAACTGCAGGAGTTTCAGCCTTTCCATGAACACAACAAATTCACGCGATTTCTCATTGTCACATCCAGGAATTGGGGCTAGACTATCAAACTCGGCCCGCAACAGTCTCAATTTTGAGAAATAAGAAGAGATTGAGCTAGTACCTTGATTAATTGTAGCAATGTTCTTATGAATCTGAAAAATTCTAGAGAGATCAGCCTTATCAAACCTCTCTTTTAGGGCATTCCATACAACACTTGCATTTGAGGAGTAAACGATTCCACTAAGCAATTCAGGCGATACACAATTCATTATCCATGACAACACTATGGCAGTTATCCCATAGATCGACCTGATTTGGACTATAATTTCCTCGCCTACAAGTACCGTCTATGAACCCTAACTTGTTTCGCCTTAAAATACTCATTGCTTGACTCTATACCGAGTAGTTTTCTGGACCTCAAAGCTGCAGCGAGATCAAAATTGCTCCGAAATTATCATTTGAGTTTAAAAACAAGGGATGATTGTCACTTAGCTTCTCAGGAGCTTCATTATCAACTTCCGCCATTGTTGAGCTTCAACTGTAGAGACAGAGCTTAAGCAATTGAGCTTGAATTCAATAACCACACAGATTCGCGATCCAGATTCGAGTAGTAGACTTTGATACCATGTCAATTTTATCAATGAGATAGAGAGATTGATGAGAGTAAACAAACAGAAGAAGACTTGGAGAGAAATTAACTGATTCTCATTTCTTCTACATGCTACAGTAGTGAGTAATATGTCCTATATATATACAACATCTAACTAACTTTACTAACTAACTATGATTACATAAATAACCATTGTATTAACTAACTAGCCAACTAATACATATCAGCTTATACTCTCGACGTAACATCATGTCAATAAAACAAAATTGATATTCACGTCACAGTATATGTGCCATTACTTCTGCATTTCTTCCATTTCTTACCCCATATTTCCCCTATTCCTATATAGTATGTCGTGTGACCTGCTCTGGCGAATTTAAGATTTTAGAGTTCAATATTTAAGGATTTAACATTGAACCTGTTTTATTTTAAATGCTATGGATTCATATCTACAATTTTTATAATTTTGGTGAACTCTTACACATAAATTTATACCGCGCATCAGATGAAACCGCAACTAAAAAGCTGCATCGCCATCAAGAGTCTCGATTATAGTCAATTTTACAGCAGTACAGATTACAGAGTCAATAAATGATAAAAATCCACATTTTCTGTAGAAAAATTGAGTGCCAGGAACTGTCTCGCAAGCGATTTGCCCAGAAAGGATGAGTTAGAGGTTATTTACCAAGTGATATTGATTTCATAACTGGAAGAAACTGTTCACAAGATTTAACAGCAAAATTCAAGAAATTTTCGTCAGAAAAAACAAAAAACAAATAAACTATAACAAAAAAAAAAACATCAGATGTTTGTTCCATTTGGATATACTACTAGTTAATATGAGTATTCGAGTTCAGTTGAACTGGATTTCCATTCAACTGCTGAAGGTTCCCCCTCTTTAACTTGTCGAAAATATAAGTATAGTAAATCCTATTCGTGAACTCTTATATTTAATCTTCTTAGCCAAATGGAGTGAACAATCATGTGGAAAAGATCAAATCTTTTGGGAGGTCCATTAATCATAAAATGCCTCTGAACTTGCTTCACTCTCCTATGCATTCTCAAGTACTGACTCTGTGAAATGCTCATTAATATCTTCTTGATATTCGGTATGTCTTTCACAGCCACTGTCACAGAAAATGATTTCCAATTCAGAACATCACTAAATGGTGGCACATAACTATCTGAAATCAAGACAGGAATACATTCTGCATATATTGCTTCCACAATTCTTGGACTTGCAACTTCATATCCACTTGGGCACAAACAAAACTTGCTGTTTTTTAACATGGATTCGTAAGATTTGCCTCTTGGAAGTTTTTCGTAAACTAACACTTCTTCATCTTTCCCTTTCCATTGTTCTAGGAGATGGTGTCTAATGTTACCATGTAAACCACCCGCGAAGAATGCAAGAATTGATCTTGTTGATGGTGAGGGACCTCCGACGAGTCCCTTGATATCGCCCGTCTTGAGATGGATTTCCGGTAGAGATACATCTTTTATAGGATTAAAACCTTCTGAGGTATTGGCATTGCATAGAACTCTTATGGAGTTGTTGAAGAGATGTGGAACGTATGAAGTCGAATGTGGCCCCTGGAGATCAATACAAAAGTTTTTCATCAAAAAAGCAAATTTGATAACAATGTCAACTGTCAACTATGTCCCAATCCTAAACTAGGTGGGATCGACAGTTGGTGCTATCCAATGTGTCACAAGTCGAGGCATCACTAAGGGACCGTTTGGTTCAAGGAATTAAGTGAGTTATCCCTGTATAAATTTTGGGATTAAGTTTATCTCGTGTTTGATTTGAGGTATATATATCAGCTAAAACCAATATTATTTCTATACCAAAATCTTGGTATCACTTATCCCATATGAATTGTGGGATAAGTTATCCAGGTTATATTCCTGGTTTCAATTCTAGGACTATAATCCCTGACCGATTTTGAACCAAACGACCCCTAAGAGTATATATCCTGGTTTCAATTCCAGGATTGTAATCCCTGGCCGATTTTGAACCAAACGACCCCTAAGATTATATAACCTGGTTTCAATTCCAGGATTATAATCCCTGGCCGATTTTGAACCAAACGACCCCTAAGAGTATATAAGATAAATAATGTAACACAGTACTTGTGTTCCCTTGCTTACCCAGTCGTGACAGGAAAGCATGAAGTGATCGGCACTAAGACTTCTGTTCCAAAAGGTATGTCTTGAAGAAATGACTTTAACATAATCAGCAACAGTTGTACCAATGGTATGCATATCATGGGCGCCAGGGACATAGAGGTAATGAACCATCACAACTACACTAAATGGCAGAAAATACACCATAGCCTCATCTGGATCTTCAGTTCTGTAGAAATTTCCCTTTTCCATTTCATGTATAAACCTTCCTTCTGTTGAATATATGCTCCTACATGGACCATTATGGAATATTGGAGGTTCTCCTTCCTCATACACATATGCCTTGAAGCTCTTCTCCATTTCAAGATAGCTCCTACAATATTGTTGCAAAAGATATAAATGCTAATGTAGAATGACCCCCAGTATTAAGTTTTATGTACTAGGTATAAACACAATCAGGTCGCTTAAGGCAAGTAAATCTCTATGATACGAATTAATGAGTAACATGCTAAAAATTGTAACTGACATTTCATTATCTACTGATTAAACTACACTGATAGCGTAAAAAAATCCTTCCGCCGTTAGTGTATATAACTTAATCAGATTACAACAACAATAACAACCCAGTAGAATCCCACAAGTGGGGTCTGGGGAGGGTAGTGTGTACGCAGACCTTACCCCTACCCGGATGGGGCAGATAGGTTGTTTCCGATAGATCCTCGGCTCAAGAAGACGGAAAAGACGAGAAGAGACAATATATTAGTACCGTCAACAGAAATCATAGAAATAATAACAGCATCGTAAGAACCAGAAAATAGATGAAATAACTTAATCAGATGGTAGATGGTGAGGTTGAATCGGTACCTGTGGAAGGAATTTGCGTTATGGTACATGGGGCCTTGAGGAACATAATCAGGGTCCTGATGGTTAGATATCATACTCCCATTTCGAGCAGCTTCTCTTATTGAAGACCTGGATTTTGCCAAAATGGCTTCAACCCTTTCTAACCTGCTGTACATTTTAAGTACCCCTGCAGTTGCATTATTACCATGTTCTTCTTCATTTGATATTTCATCCTTCTCAGTCTCTGACTCTCCTTCCTTTTATTTACAAGGTCGCAAAACACAAAGAAGAAGAAAATAAATTAGTATCGAGTTTAAGTTGTATTCACTGACGGTGTGAAAAGTATTACACAATCATGTCATTTATAAGGTAAAAATAGTACTGTAACTAACATGTCTAAGTACCCCTGCAGTTGCATTATTACTATGTTCTTCTCCTTCATTTGATACTTCATCCTTCTCTACCTCTTCTCCTCCTTCCTTTAATTTACAAGGTAGCAAAACACAGAAAGAAGAAAATAGATCAATATACAAGTTTATGCTCTATGCAGTCACTCACTGTGTAAAAAGTACTACACAACCAGGTCAGTAAAGCACAACCCGATGCACTAAGCTCCTACTATGCACGGAGTCCGGGGAAGGGTCGGACCACAAGGGTGCAGTCTTACCCTACATTTCTGCAAGAGGCTATTTCCACGGCTCGAACCCGTGACCTCCAAGTCAGATGGCAACAACTTTACCAGTTACGCCAAGGCTCTCCTTATACACAACCAAGTCACTATAAGGTAAAAATTGTAACCAACCTGCCATCACTGGTTGAACTCCATTGACAGTGTAAACAATATTTGTAAGTGTATAACTTAAATCCTTAGTAAACACACATAAGAAAGAGAATACAACAAGAAAACAAGGGGAAAAGTGGGATTTACTTGGGGAGGATGATGAGGAATTGCGTCTTCAGCTACCAGTGAGTTGTTAAAAGGAGAAGTAAAAGATGGAGGCTCAGCTAAGGCAACTATCTGTAAATTCTCATCTTGTTCTTCATAACTACCTAAAGACCTCAAAGAATAAGAGGTCAAAATTCCAACAGGCTTAATCCCATTCCAAGAAGAAGAAGAAAATGATGACACAAAAGAACTACCTAATAATGTACAAGCAAGAATTGGAACCAGAACCAGAACCAAAGGGATAAAAACCAAGAGAACCAAATTAGAAGACAAAAATGAAGGCAACTGCAGCTTCTTGAGACACCACATTTCTAAAACTAAACTATTTTTGCATGGCCTAACAAACAGTGCTTTACTTCTTTAGTACTGCAAAATATCAGAGGAAATAATTAATGAGATAAGATTTTGTTAGTCAGTGAACATTCTGAGATTCATTACTTCACTACAACTTATTCTTTGCTGCATATTTGCATTATTCTTGCACATTATGTTTTTAAAATAGCCAAAAGGGGCATTTGATAAATAGCCAGCTGCTTTATGGGGATTTTCGTCTACCAAAGTTTCCTTAAAGTTCAAGTCTCCTTATTCTCAAAGTCAGTTGTGTTACTTTTATGGTTTTTTTTAACTTTCCTTTTCTCCATTTTTATGGCTACAGTTAATTTCCCAAACTCTAATTCCCTCCTTTTTATGTTTTTCTGTACGAGATTTGCCCTGTCCACAATTTAGAGGTAGCAAAATAAAGAAAAAACATAGTCAAGACGTAATGATTATTAGCAAAACAAACAAAGAAAAGCATGTAGAATTACTGATTTTCGTTATTAATTACTCCCTCCGGTCCACTTTAAGTTATTTTTGGCCCTTTTTTGTGGTTCATAATATTTGATTTTTTCAAATATCAGGAAGGAATTAACTTCTGCTCTTCAAAGTTGCCATTGGAGTAGAGAGCCTAGGAGTAGTTTGTATATTTTCAATAAGAAAATTAAGGTTAATATGGTCAATTTTATTATTAATTAATGCTAAAAATTGAATTCCTTAAAATGTACAAAAAGAGCAAAAAAAAAATCACTTAAAATGAACCGGAGGGAGTAATAATTATAAAAGTTCTTTTGGCCAAATTTCCATATCTGCTCATAAAAAGGAAGGAAAAAAAAAACGAATATGCAAGTGATCTATACAGAAATCAAATGAAGTGAACATCGCTCTTTCCTCTTTCGGTTATATGAACATTGAATTATCGATATTTACTTCACTTTAAACTTTGTTCCTGATATTTTAGAAATTTCTAATATTTTGATCAAATAATTTCAAATTTTTAATTTTAAACATCATTACTAAAAGACAACCTTTTCTCACGTTTGGGTTACTCAAAATGCAACGTAAACATTCATTTAAGATATATATCACCGAAAGTCAAAATCTTTATTTTTCCTTTTAATAATTGTACAATTGGACTATTCACGAGACAAAATCGCCCTCCAACTTGTTAAACTCACGATGGTATAGCAAATACCAAGAATTATAAGCTGTATATATCTCCAAAAAGTAATGAATCTTAAAAGCTAATTTATCACAGAGGTAGTAATATTTTGACCAATAGTAAGTTGACTAAAGTATCAATTACACTTGTAAATGCTCCGAGATTGCAGCTTAAAGGGTCCGTTACCGTAACGTAAAGTAATTAGCAATCAATATTTAACAGCTCTATGATAAATTCAGCAGTCCAAGGCTCTCATCCCCCCTCCCCCCCCAACCCCTTTTAGTTTACGTCTGGAATTTAACTATTCAAACCAATATATATGTCATGGGTTTTACAAATACGTAAAAAATTTTAACAAAATTCCCAAATCCCAATTTATATTTTTAAGGTTTAGATATTCACAGAACTTGAGAATTTTGTCCCCGTCAAGCACATGACCTAAACGTACTAACTAGGGGTGCTCAAATCGAACCAAAAAATCGCACCAAACCGAAAAACCAAATCAAATCGATTAAAAAACCCGACTAGATTTGGTTTGGTATTGAGTAAAAAAAAACCGAACCAAACCGACATATAAATATATAAATTTTATTTATATTTTTAAGACTTTTTAGTGATTTTTCTTTAGAAAATATAGAAATAGTTGGGATCCTCTCATGTATTAACCTTGAAAGCGTAAATTAACGAAAAATTATTGTTAGACGACTAAGAAAATAATTATCATTTGTTACTAAAAAAATTCTCCCATTAGAATATTTTAATAGATCATATGTTTGTCAATTTTTTCCATATTTATTAAACATATATTCACTTATCAAAGCTTTATCTATAATTTTAATAAAGTAAGATTGAAATAATATACATGTAACAAAAAAACCCGAAAACCCGAAAAATCCGACAAAACCGAACCAATCCAAACCGATATAATTGTTTGGTTTGGTTTTGATAAAAACCGAACCAACCCGGTGTGAGCACCTAATTTTTGACAATATTTTATTTTTGTTACTTTTTCTATGTAAATATTTTAGGGGTTTTAACCTACAATTTTTAGCTTTGTTACACTTTTTATTATAGGGTAAAAATATAAATTTTAAAAGGTGAATTATTACTATTAATATTATTTTATTTTTTTTTATTTTAAAATAATTTTTTAAAAAAATCCGAAAATATTTTTTTTAATTTCGGGAGAGATTAAATAAATAAAAAAAATGGAAGTGGGGAATAAAAAAAATAATAATAAAAATAAAAGTAGGTGGAATTCTCTTTTAAAAAGTAAAAAAAGTGGAAAATTAAAAAAATAAAAGTAAAGTTTTGTGAAAATTTAAAAAATAAAAAGTAAAAGAAAGTAGAATTTTTTAAAAGAAAAGTAAAAGAAAGTGGATTTATTTTAAAGAAAAGTAAAACAAGTGGAAAAAAAGAAAAGTAAAAAAATGGAATTTTAAATAAGATAAAAGTAATTAAAGTTGGAATTTAAAAAATAAAAGTAAAGAAAGGTGGGAATTCTTTTTATAAATAATAAAAAAAAAGTAAAATGTAAGTGGGATTTTTTTTAAATAAAAAAATAAAAAAATAATTAAAAAACAAATCTGAAAATTTTCGAAAATTCTCCTATAAATAGAAGAGAAATATTTGAAAGAAAAAAAGAGGGAGAGTAGAGAGAATTGAGAGAAAACATATTTTCTTCTTCTATGCAAAAATAGAATTTCTACTATTTTCATTCTTTCTTCCTATTTCTTTCAAAAAAAAAAAATCAATTCATTATCTTGTTTAAGATAAAAAAAAAGAAACCAAAAATTAGCTCTTTAAATACCTCAAAATTAGCCCCAAAATAACCATAAGAATTCGTGGCATGAACCCATTTTCCTTTGAGTTTCAGTTACAGTCAAGTAACGAAATTCAATCCGTCAAGGTTGCCGGTTCAAGGTTCAGTCAATAGCTTGTTGTGTCCAACTCAATTTGGAGTTTTACATTTGGAAAATATTAAGCAAAGATCCGTTCTAATCTTTGTCATTTTTGTGTACTTGCATGAATAAATTTACACTATACTTAATGAATATTNCGGAAGTAACCGTGCATTTCTGTATCATATTTTGCTTTTAAGCACATCTATTTGATCCTTCAATAACTACGCTATAAAATTTTTATATAAAGGAAGAGAGATTTTTGCTTTTTCTCTCTGACTCTTGAGGAGATGGATACAATTGAAGAAAAACAAGTTTTAATATTTCATATTGTCCATCATATCTCCTGAACCAAACGTTGTAGTGTTATTTAAAATTGTGTTGCAAGGGTTAAAGATAAATTTAGAATATTGATATGCATAGTGCAGGTTATCATCACTTCAAAATTGTACAATTTCTCAAAATCCATAACTTATGGCCCTCACAAAACTAGTTAGCTTTTTATAGAAAATTCGAGGTGTGCCATTAGCTGAATTTTCCATGGCCCTTGCAAACTTGAAAGTGCATAGTTACTTTAGGCGCGTAATTTAAATTAATTTCCTTAAACTCGAGTGTGCATTTCATGTGACCCAAATCCAAATCTCAACAATGTTAAATAAAATGTGTCGTGAACCGCGGGTGCATTTCATGTGGCGTGGTTCAAAACGTGTTTTAGATAACGTTGAATCTTCCTAAAATTAATTAAAAGCAGCTAATAAGTTAAAAGTGTACCATATGCTAAAACATGTATTAAAGTCAGATAATAGGCCAATTATAATAGTTTAAGCGACCGTGCTAGAACCACGGAATCCGGGGGTGCCTAACACCTTTCCTCGGGTTAACAGAATTCCTTATTCAGAATTTCTGGATCGCAGACTTCAAAAGGAAAGTCGAAATTTTACTCGATTTGGGATTTAAAATACATCGGTGACTTGGGACACCAAATAAACAATCCCAAGTGGCGACTCTGAAAATCAAATAAATAATCCCATTTTGAATAATGTCACTTTAATTGAAAAAACTCCCTTGTACTACCTTCGGGTGTGTAAAAAGGAGGTGTGACAGCTCTGACGACTCTGCTAGGGAAACCCCAGAACTTTGGTTCAGGGTTTAAGAATTCGAGCTTAGAATAACTGTTGTAGTTGACTTGTTTTATCTGATTTTTACATGTTGGGCCTAATGTGCTAATTGCCGCTTTCTGCCGCTTTGATACTGTTTGAACTGTATATAAATTGCTACGAAACCCTTCTTCTCTCTGAGTCTTCTAAATCATCTGGGAAGTGTGCACTTCGTGTGACTTCCCTTCTGTTTAGAGTCTTATCCAATTTTAGAATGAGGTTCGGACAAGCTGCAAAGCCGGTGAAGCTTCTGTATTTCCAGTACGCTGCCCCCCTCGGCTCGAGCTGTCCGCTCGGGTAAGCCAGGTCTAGAACAATACACTCAGGTTTTAAACCTAGTGTAACAAAACCTCATGTCGGATCCCTAGTAGGAACGTTTGTTGCATCACGTGCATTTGACTTTGTAGACTCAACACAGGGGTTGGGTCTGTCTAGGACAGGTGTACCCGAAATAAAAAGACCATCCTGATGCATCTTACTTGCTACTTGTGTACTTATTTGCTTCGGATTTGCATCTTGACCGGCTTATGGATAATAGGAGAAAAGTTGGGAAAAAGAAGAGTCAATGTGAGGGCTAAGAGAGATAATTGCTTGTTTTTGAAAAAACCAATGTCCAAAAAATATACTGAAACTCTGCCGAAATTTTGAAAAAAAAAGAGAAAATTTTGTTTTTGAAAATAGTTGGTTTTGTTTTCATTTTTTCAAATCTGCTCGAACTACTCCAGTTTGATTCTCACTGGATGTGGGATACGTAGGCAACCCCCATTGGGTCCAACATTCCTTTTTACAAAATTAGTCCAAAAAAGAATAAAATTTTTTATTGTAAATAAGTAAGGTGATGCCATTCTTGTTTAAAATAGCCGAATGTCCCCAAAAGGGCGCCGGAAGGCCGTTTTTGCAAGAACGGCCACCTTTGGTCGCTTTTTCAG